ATTATACAATTTTTATTTAATTCCCAAAGGCATTAATTTATATTGAAGTCGTACCAGAATTTAAAAAAATAAAATAAAATAAACTGAATATTTATAAAAAATTAATTTAAAAAAATTTCTATTCAATTAATTATATTTAATTTTGGACGATTTTTTTCTTTTCCTTGAATATTTAACAATTAAAATTATCTGATAGAAAATTTAATTGAATTTCATTAAAATTCAATGGAGTAGTTTTTATACTGAAAATATTGAATTTTTTACTCGGAATTTAACATTATTTAATAGTTTTTTTAATATATAATTGAGAATTTAAATTGTTAAAATATATATTTTTTAATCTGTGAAATTATTTAGATGATTAATTAAATATAATATAAATTTAATTGTATTAATTAAAGCCATTCTTTTTATTTTTTAAATAAAATTTGATAATACTGTATTTCATTACGGTTTGTCTTCGTATAACATTAAGTCTAACAGATTTTTAATTAATTTCCTTAAAATTTTGTGAGTAGACAAACAAACAGACGAATAAAACTGAAAATTTTATAACAAAAACAGTTGAAGGTACAAAATTCAATTATTATTTTATTAAATTCCCGAAAAAGCTTAAAAAAAACTTTAAAAGAATAAACTTTCTTTACTTCATTATATTTTTGATACGTTTTGAGAACAGACAACCAGACGGATAGAAAACGTACCTTAAAAATATATAATAAAGTATATATATATACAGGCTATGCAAGCATAAGTTATCTGTGTAGGTGTGTGTATATATGTATGTATGTAATAATTATAATATAATTATAAAACACGTTAAAATGTGAAATTATTTGGGTGTTCTTCTATACTTAAAATGCAATAATTTACGTACGCAAAATAGGATATTTATTATTTTAAAATTATTTTAAAAAATAAAACAAGAAGTATATATACATATATAATTTTTTTTTCCTAACCTTGCTTTGCATTTCCTCTCAAACCCTCTACGGATTATTGGAGGAAGACTGTTGACGTCATACCAGTCAGTCACGTGTTCCAGTCTGTATAGCTGGGTAGTATCAGGAAGTGGTTCTATCCGATAGCAAAGCTGTAAGGGTGTGTGCCAGTTTACAAGTCTTCGTTTCTTTAAAATATATATAAAAGGTAAGATATAAATTTATTCCATAACGTTATCGATTGTTTTCTCTTCGTTAACAATGCATCTGAATGGTTGACAAGATGCTGCAGATGTACGCTCTTCTCCTCTTTTATAAGGGGTTGAGATTCGACATGATTTATAAATAAATTAAGGTAAAATATCGTGTATATTGATTACGTTTTATTATTATTATCTTCACAGAATTTTTGCAAATTCTACAAAATTGATAAATTTGTCAATTAAATATACAAAAGGATATTGATTTTAAATGGATGATATGTGAAGATTAATATAAATTTTTTTGGTTCGAAAATCGATTTTTTTCGTTAGTTTTTTTAAGCTAAAATATTATTGTTTATACCTAAATTTTCTATAATTTAATTTAATATATTTTTTAAAAGTTTTAAAAGATGATATATTTTAATAATTTTTGAAATTTTTAAAGATATTAATTAAATAATAAACAAATAATAAATAAAATTGATTTACAATTGCACTTTAATTACATTTTAAATTAATTCTTGAAAGTAGTAATTAATCTGAAATTTAATTATAATTAAATCTCTCACATTAAATTTCTCTTCGAGTTATTGTTAAAGTGACATTACATAAGAAGTTTCTTATTATAAAATATTTAATTTTTATNATAAATAATATACTGTATAACAGTGTAGTAAAAAAAATATATATAAAATAAAAAGTTATTATTTATTACAAATTTTAAACTAGAAACTATTAAAATGAATTAAGTTTACACAATGTTTCATTACTTCTGTATGAAATGACAAATATTTTAAACAGGCTATTTTAAACGGCTTGTTAAATTTATTAAATGAGATCAGTTTAATATTAATGTATGTATTAATATTCTAAATGATGTAAATGGTAGGATACATAAATTATAATTTGACATAACATTTCAAATTATACGTGGTTATACAGAGATGAAACGAGTGTTATATAAATCAGTGGGTTGATTAAAAGATCTTGTTAGTGTTTGCTGTGTTATAAAATACTCGAAGTACTTATAAGATAAACTTTCCACCCTTAGTTGAATATCTAAATATAATTTCTTGAATAAGTTTCTTCATTTCTTAAATTTATTTATAAATTTAATATAGATTTTTCTTAATAAATAAATGGAAAATATTTAATAAATAATCCCATATATTATCTAAGTTAAACCATTAATAAATGGAATATAAATAATTCGCCTAACTGAAAATAATGTTTTATAGGAAAATTTGGTAATGTTGTTGCTTGACTTTCTCGGATTCTTTATTTCTTTTCATCTTTAATAATTGCTACCGTTACCTTTTTATAAGTCTTTCAGAATGGTTCGGGAGATGTTAAGGGATTGAGCCATATCTCTCGAATCAATAGTCCGATTTTCCTGAAAATTTCTCGAAATATCGCTTTCTAATACATAAACCTCCCTGCAAAATTTCAGAAATTTTTAACAAAAGATACAGGAGTTATTAAGCTTCAAATTAGGTAAAGAAAATCGTGCCCACCACACACACTAACATCCATATATACAGGAAAATAAAGTATATCCTGATGTTTCTAACTACTATTGGCTTGAAGAGTGATTGGAAATTATATCATAGAGTAACTTATTCAAGTTATCGAATTTGAATAAGTATTTGATTAAACGTATTTAAACGAAGCTTTTAATACCGTGAAGAGCAAAAGAGGATTTATGATTTGCAAACGGTCATTAAAGAGCATTTTATTCACTTAAATGAGTATAATTACATCCGAAAATTATATAGAACTAATGAAAAATTAATTTTATAATTTATCTTTTAGTATCTAACTTATAAACATTATTTATTATAAGTAGACAATGGCTATCTATTCATAAAACTGATGTTTTATCTTATTTATTTTTAAGTAAAAAAATAATATAATAATAAATAAATTAAACGTTTTATTACTAATATAATTAAATTATATCTTTGTTTATTTTATTATTTAAATATCTGCATAAAAATTAATGTAATATTCGTATATTTATTCACGTAAGCTCTACAAATGCTAAGGAATGTATTGGCATTCATTTGAAAATAAATTAGGTTATATATATAATTCTATCAGTAGTGAAGTGCGATTTATTTAAAGTAATAAAAATAATAATAAATTGATTTTAATGTAAATAAAATAATATTTTAACAAGTTCTTAATAATTATTAATTAATTTTTTAAATGAAAAAAAAAAGAAATTATTTAAGTGATAAAAAANTTCTTCAGGCAGAATTTCTTGACTGGAATTAGTTCCAGATATTCTTATTTTTTCTGTAGCTTTAGGAATGACATTGCGCGGCCTCCCACGCCCCTTCTTTTGCATATCTGTGTGGCCGCCACGTTGAGGAGATCTAGGCAAAGGTCCTGGATTAGGTTCTATACCAGAAATAAGCAATAGGTATAATATTACTAGCAGAGAAAGACATTTGTTATACTTCCACTTAAATTGAGGTAACATTTTCCTCCAAGAGCGAATCATTATCACACAATGTTGTATCAACTCTTCTCTTGAGATTATCGCGCCAACACCTTCGACAGTCGAGACACTCCCCCCCCAAGAGTATATAATATAATTTAAATTTGTAAGCAAAAGTAAATCACATTTTAACATTACATTATTGTAAACTATATTTTATAATTTACAACATTGTTTAACACGTATAATATTTTAAAAATGAAAATATTTTTATTATAAATTTAAACTTAAGTTTTATTATTATTATTTTTTCTCTTGTTTTTAATTTAAATATAAAATTTGAATGTGATAAGGAAGAATAATGATATTTGTATTAAATCTTTAGAAATATTTTCTTATAATAAAATAGAATAAATTGGTTACTGTTTAAAACATTCTTGAAAATTTGACCAACAATCAACCATTTTTTAACATACTGAAAGATCAAGAATAGAGTTTTATTAATCCCGGGGCTCGCGAACTACCTGTTGAGAACCGTAAATAGGATGCGAATCTTTTGAGATTCTTCTTAATCGTATTAATGTATATTGTATAAAGTATAGCATTATAAAATTAGTATATTATAGTATGTGACATTTATCTTGATTCAATTGTAATAAGTAATCCATTCTGTTAATTAAAATTTATTTTGGGAATAGTTTAAACGTCTTTGTATAAATTTCAACGTGCACCTTATGAGAATTGCTTTCTATTTTTTATATTCATCCGATAAAAAGATTATATGGGTATTTATAGTCTTTTATCCATTATTTCTCAAAAATATATAATGTAATTAGGAAATGATAGAAATATATACTGTATTTATTTAAAAATAAGGTTTATAAATGTGATGCGAAAATTTTATAAACAGTTGAATCTGGCAGGCTGAATTTATGAGACACGTAATGCATTTCGTGCTCTGAAACATGTAGAAATCTAGATCCTTGCTTATCATTAACAGATCTAATTCTTTGTCAAATTATTCATCAACTCACTTATTGTCTTTTCTATAGTTTATGAAATTCCTTTGAATTTCTCTCTAATTGCATTGTATTTCTCTTCTTGAATATGCAGTATCGCAATCATCATACGTTCATTCATTCATGGGGCATTGAATCCCTTCGTAGGATAATAATAGAAGTCAATTAAGACTATTCTTTCTTTATAAATGCCAATTACACCTATAAATTAGAATTGTTAACTAACTTATAAGAAATTTGATTTATTCACTTTGACATTATTTAACATACAGTTCATTATGCTGAAGCTTTAATTTTACAGCTCTACCTCAATTATATGTTATTTTTCGTACTATTATTATTATTATTATTGTATACTTTTTAAATTTATAAATATTATTTAATTTAAAATTATTGATATATTACAAACTCCAGTCAATTATTTTATAATAACTTAAGTTTTATTTTTTAAGCTGTTATATAAACTTTTTATATTACAAAATTGAAGTTTGAAATCAATCTGAAAGAAGCAAAAAAACTTCTATTTTATTTATATATTTCTTTTTAATAAAAATCTTCAACCATTACATCAATAACTTTAAAATTTTTATGAAAGTTATATTGTCTGAATCGATAGATTTCGGTATTAAAGTGTTTTTTTTTTTTATGGCAATAAAAATGATATGAGAAATTTTTTCTTTAATAACATATGACAATTCTTTAGATCGTTAAGTTCTAATCTCTAACAGACACGCCTTATCAGACCCAATCCCGATTTTAATTTGAAAACCCAAATACAGTCTTCTCAAGCATAAGGATCCCGTGTCCATCCAATGTATAGCATAACTGTATATTCATCAAATTGTGTACGTGTTCGATACTTTCAAAGTTCAAAGCATTTTTCAAAAAAGCCTCCAATTATATTCACACAAAAGGATATATATGTGCGGGTATACGGTCGGACATGGAGGAACACAGGCATCGTATACTATCCTGCCAAAGATTTGCCACACGTGTTGCAACTGCCGCTTCAGATTCCTTACACTCGTAGATGCGCGAAGCTATCGTCCCATCTGGTTCTACAAATGTTCTATGGTGACAAATCTAGAGACCGGTCAGGCCAAGATTTGTGACAGTATGTCGGAAACATTCCTGGAAAACAGCTCGGTCATGAAAGGTGACACGAGGGTGACACAACGGCATGTTCAGGAAATCGTAAACATGCCGTTGTGCCGCTAATATCCTTCTCACCACTACTAGGAGTGAACGGAATGTCAAACGAGGTGGCTCCCCAGACTAGCACGTACCCATCAGTCAGTGTCGGATTGACCATTAAGCTGAGGAGACTCAAAGCCTAGGGACCTGAAAGGAAAAAAAATGGTTCAATTGAATGTAGTACTATATTTTGTAGTATTATGTATGATATTTCAGTACTTTTGTATATATGTTTTTGAAGGGACCGTCTTGAAAAAAAACGCATAAATAAAAAAGCGTATAACTGGAAATCAGTGGCAAATTACTCACAAGGATCGTGAGGCACATGCCTACGGACCTCTGTTCTTGG